GTTGCCGTCGAGGAAACCGGGGCATGGAATGTGGGGCGCACATCTGGGTCTTCGAAGACGCGTTTGGCGACGGATTTTTGGATGACCAGATGGGTGTGTCCTTTGATCAATCCCTTTCTTGTTCAGCTGTTGCGGCGCTTGGTAATAGGTGCTCGCAGGCGGCGTGAAAAAGCCTGTGGTGCATGAAGACGCAGAAGTCAATTTTTTTTTCAGAGAACGTTTTTCTCGGGGGGATTCAGGCTCACCTAGTTGGATCTTGTGGGCATATATCGCCACCTCGAAGTCTTGGTTGGCCGGCAGGACCGCTTCCGATGACGGCTCAACTCTGTTGGTCAGTTTCATCAACAGATCAAGATCAGCAACCCTCGTCTTTCAGGATGAAAACAAAAAGGAGAGATATGTACATTCTGACTGAAGGCATATTCTCTACGCTCGGGATGAAGCCCATCGGGGTGGGATTGCATGAGCCTTCGTGGACTTGGGCGCCATTCGTCAGTTTGGCACCAGCACAAAAGTGCAACTAAACTCATTTTCAAGTCTCCTTAAAATGTCAGTTTCTCGAAAAAAAAAAAAAAATAGACTCTGGCTGGGTAGGAAAGAAAAAAAAAAGAGTCTGACGAACAAAGTTGTCAGAAGAGGTAAGTGATTTAGTGACAAACTCGGGGTTTGCATTGGCAGGAGATGGAGGTTTAGCAGTCGACGCCGCATATGCGGCTCTCTCGGAGACCAAAACACTCAGGACGATTGTGGCGACAAGAGCCGGCCAGGCCAGGGGGGCTCTTTTCATGTGCGGGAAAGTGGCCATCTCTCTTTGTCGATCGCAAAAAAACCAAAGAGACAAAGTGGAGAGAAAAAAAGAAGTAGAAGAAACCTGCCAAAAGAGAGGTGTGTTGTTGGTTTTTTTTTGTTCTTGTGGGCAGTGTCAGAGAGAGAGAGTGGAAGGAAGTGAGGTGATCTGAATTGATCGAGTGTTTGTGTGTGCGTGATTGGAGTTAGGGAGATTGGAGGTGGAAGATGATGATGAGGATGAGTTTTAAAGATGAGAGACAGAAAGAGAGAACCAGCTTTCGGAACTAGACAAGGGATGCTGGATATAAACGAGAGGAGTGGAGCACAATTACCCTTTGATGAACCCTTTATACCCTTAAATGAGATCAACTGACGATGGCCGACGATAGTGTGATCCAAAAGAGCTCTCCGAGACTCCGCCGACGCCACCCCTGTTGATTGAGGCCGAGGAACCGATACAACTGGTTTTTTGGTTTTGTGGACCCTTTTGTTTTTCCCAGGAACCTTCAGGGTCGTCTTCGTCCTCATTCAGAACACGCTCTTTTCTTGTGGCCTGCAGTCGGTGGACAGTCATCTAGATCATGATTCTGTTCCGGGATGATGGAAAGCGCCTGGCGCTGGAGTGGCCTATCGACCTTGAATTGGGCTTCCTTCCTCTTCGTGTTTGGCGCCAGGTCGGTCGCCTCCCATCCAACATCCACCCTTGGACAAGTTGGAAGGTCCGCTTTTCTGCTGATCATCTTGTCTGGGGGTTTACTGCAGACGTTGGACAAGCCATCACCGATATTGCACATTTTTCTTTCCTTTAAATGCCTTTTGTATTTTCTTTTTAAAAGTGAGCTGCTTCAGTCGTGTCTGGAATACTCGTTGATTTTTTGCTCAGTTTGCAAGCTCATGATGGCCATAAGAACCTTGATAGCTTATCATAGGATTGGTACTGTCGGTTGGGATGAGTGCAACTGAGAGCGCAGCACAAGGAATAGTGAGACTTCTCTTTGGAGATCCTATTTAGGAGTTTGACTTTTTATCAGTGTTTCCCTTGTGAATGGTTTGATGATGCAATGGTGTCCGGCAGTTTTGGATTTAAGGTTGCTTAATTAAAAATCTGCTGTGTGAGCGTCTGGTTTATGTAAGCGGGCCGTTTGTTTGCTGTGATTGTGGTGGAGGAAAGTTTTCATCAAGCCTACTCACAGAACAACACACCACCACCACCAGCCAACAACTAACCAACAACAACAACCAACCAACTACCAACTAGAAAACCCAACAATAAGATGCCTGTTATCGAGAACCTCAAGAACTTCATCAAAGAACGTCATCACAACCATCACCACCACCAACAACAGCAGCAGCAACAGCAGCAGCAGCAGCAGCAACAGCAACAACAACAGCAGCAACAACAGCAACA